GAGCCGTTTGAAAATTGAGAAACGTGGGTGGAGGGAAATGAGCTCCAACCCACGGTTTTTGTAGTTGGAGAAGGGCGTTTAGCGCGCTTCGACGATGCCAATTGTGCAGTACAAGCAGCTTCGCTTTCACAATACACAATTTTAAAAAACACTACATGTGTGTTTAAAAATTATAATATTGAGAAAGCTTGCTTTCTTTCTTATCAATTGGCATCGTTCTCATTACAAATGGGGTCTCTGAGACATGGGCAGCGGGGGCCTCCGGTTGCGTACGAGTGCCTCTGTGTGTTGCGCCGATGACACCGCATGCGTCGAATCTTGTAGGGTACGGGAGGCTTCGATGAGGGGCTCGACGTATGGCGTAACATACGTTTCCTTTGCTGTGTCGCTTCGCCATCTGCCCAGCCGTTTGAAGACTCTGTCTGGCACTCCCGTGTTGGCTGCTACTGTGGCTGCACCTTTTCGGAAAGAATGGGTGCCTAACCGCCGAGCAGGTTAGCTGCACTACGGACAGGGTGGCTTTGCGTCGGATTGCGTGTACCAGGTATAGCGCGAGGGTCATGTCGGATGCCGGGAGGAATGGAAGGTTCACTTTTGTGCAGAAGGCTCGAAACTTGGCCCAGTATGGTTCATATGTCCGGATCGTAGAATCGGCGCGGGACTGCGCGAGCATGTTGATCAGTTGGTCGTGTAACTTTGGGAGCAAATCTGAACACAAGGTGTATATATTTTGAATTAGTCAAATGCCACTCGCGGTGCAATGATTGGGCTGTGTGGTAGTCCCATGCCCGAAAAAGCAGTTGAATGGGACCCTACGTCTAGGCATTGGCTTCCGTGTGTCAGAGGGATGTGCGCGTGGATGTGTGGTGCCCAAGTGCGTGGGGATGGTTGCAAGAGTGGCCACCAGCTTGCGCCTGGCCAGTGCGGAACTATCAGTGTGAGTGATGCATGGGTGCGTTGTGCGTGATGGAGGACGGCTGGGACCAGTTGAGGTGGGGGGAAGGCGAAGTTGTTTTCAGGTGTCCACGCGATCGAGAACGCATCAACTGCAATGGCTGCCGGGTGGGGAATCTTTGAACAGAAGCGCGGCAGTTGGGTGTTGCGGGAGTTTGCGAAAAGGTCGATGGAGTGAGGACCCCAACGACGTTCCAAGATCCGGAACCACGGCGTTTTCAGCGCGTAATCGTCGTGGTCGACCATTTTTGAAAGCTCGTCGGCGTGTGTGTTGAGCTCGCGCGGAATCCATTCAATGATCAAGCGCGTGCCAAGCGCCATGCATGTTCGGATGATGCTCTTGCATGCCGTTGTGAGGTCGGGGCTGTGAGAACCGCCTTTGCGAAGGATGAAGAATACGCCCTAGTTGTCCACCCGCACGAGAACGTGTTTTTGCTTGATCTTGTTCGCGTACGTTTGTAGCGCCCAAAGGACGCCTTCGATCTCCCGTCGCGTGCTGGACGTTCCTCGTAGCGGCTCTGACATGGTTGCGCTAGCTTCTTCGATGCCACCCGGAAATGTGGTCAGAGTGGCGCCCCAACCATGAGAGCTGGCATCCACGTGGATTACCGCGTCGTAGCTGTTCTTGACGTGAAAAGGTGCGCCGTTGAAACGGTCGAACTCCTCGAGCCAAAATTGGAGCTCTTCTGTTGCAGATGGGGGGATAACGACGCTGCTTTTCCATGACGGTGCGTCGTCGATCACTTGTAACATAGCATGGCTGAATGCGCGAGCTGTCGCGCCAAGTGCGACACCCATCGATGCGAGCATGCCAGTGATTCTGGCCACGTGGCGGACCGGGACTGGTCGGCATGCCTTGCTTGCGCTCAGGAGGTTCCGGATGGTTGCATGTAGTGAGGCTCGTCGGTCCGGACCGATGGAGAATCGGCCGGTATCGGTCTCGAGTTCTACGCCCAGGAATCGGAGACGCTGCGATGGTGACAGTTGTGATTTCTTCGCGTTTATCACAAGGCCTGCCTCTTTAAGATCCAATATCACCCGCTGGCAAGTTGCTTGCGCGTCCTCTTTCGACTGGCAGAGAAATAAGATGTCGTCCACGTAAGGTACGACTCGGATGCCTTGTTCTCGCCAACGCCGAGCTAGTTGCTTGATGAGCTGCGTGAAAACGAATGGAGCTGTCGCGAGGCCAAATGGTAGTGAACGCAATGCGTATGTGCGCTTATCAAATTCAAAGCCAAGGAACTTCCAGCACGATGGGTGGATGTCGATGTGGTGGTAACCAGATTTGAGGTCAATGGAGAACATCCAGTCCCCAACGCGCGCAAGGTCGGCGACGCGGCTGAGCCCTTCGTACTTGAACTTGGGGATGATCAAGTTGGCGTTGACTTTCCTCAGATCAAGAATGAGCCTGCATTTGTCTTTTTGCTCGACCACGTTGAGTGGACTTATGCATGTAAGCTCCGTTGCGGCCATCGGAATTGCCGCTCCCGTCTCTATGAGTTCTTGGATGGCGGTACGTGTGAACGTGGCATGCGTGTTTGCCCCGACATGATTGCGATCGTGGAAATGTTGCGGTGGGCCGTGGCTCCATGGCAACCAGTAACCCTTGGCGATGACGGAGAGGACAAGGCTGCTGGGGCACCATGAGCTCCACCACGCAAATGTCGCGCGAAGACGACCGCGCATGTGTGTAATAGTTTTGTCTGTAACGGCAAATTCGTACGGATCGTCGTGGCATGCCGCCTCGCACCGTCGTGCTCCTGTACATTTGAGGCCAAGTGGTATAAGCTTTGAGTATTCCACGTTAAAGCATGCGTGTGCATGTACTTGTACGGGCAACCATTGATCGAAGGTGTGAAGAGAATGAACAATTGAATGAAATGTCAACGAATGTGTCGGGAATGTTAACGCATGTCAACGCATGTCTCTTCTTCTCCTCGTTTCCCCTTTTTTTTTTTTTTTTTTTTTTTTTTTTTTGCCCCGTCGTCCACTTGGTAGGACATGGTTGTGCCTGCCCTTAGTGCGTAGGGGCTGATGCCTAGGGCCATGGACACCGTTGTCCATTGTGCTTTCTCTCATTCTCTCTTATCTCTCTCTCTCTCTCTCTCTCTCTCCCTCTCTCTCTCTCTCTCTCTCTCTCTCTCTCTCTCTCTCTTTCTCTCTCTCTCTCTTTCTCTCTCTCTCTCTCTCTCTCCCTCTCTCTCTCTCTCTCTCTCTCTCTCTCTCTCTCTCTCTCTCTCTCTCTCTCTCTCTCTCTCTCTCTCTCTCTCTCTCTCTCTCTCTCTCTCTGCTCCTCCTCTTGATTTTCATAGTCTCTTTGCCAAAACCATAGGCCTTTAGGAAGGTAGTTTTTATTAAATCAACCAACACACATAGCAATGCTTTCCTAGCATGCCACCAAGTGGCCAACATATGGGACCGAGGGGTTGTTGTTCCCCTTCCCTATCCTAGGCCCAAGCCTATCCCACCCTTTACTAGGGCTGGCCTCTTGCCATCACAAACCCCTAGGGTTGCCCACGGTTTTCGCACTCAAGAGTGCACCGTGCCTAGCGCCCAAGCGCCTAGTCTCATGGCCCGCTCCTACACCACCGGAGCGGGTCCCTGGCCTCCATGCCCGTTCCGAGGGCAGGCACTTGCCACGTGGCCCGGCTGGCCGCAGCGGAAGCATGAGCCCCGGAACCCACGGCAATTGGCCGTGGGCGGGGGGCCTCGCTTGGGTAAGAACGGCATCGGCCCGTTGTTTCCGCCGCGGTTGACACGAGCGTATCCGCTTGCCGCACGGTCCATCGCCGCCATGTCCGCGACCGCCTGCTTGAAGGGTCGAGAAGTCAGCAGGCTCTTCTGCTGGTACAGCTTAAAGCGCTTCGCCGTGCGAAAGTCGGAGGCGTCCTCCACTTGAAGCACCTCGAAACGCCCCGTGATGAGGTTGAGAGCGTGTGAGATGAGTTCGAGTCCGCCCGCCGGATCACCGCGCTGCGCCTTGTATTCGGCGTGCAGCAGGTACGCCCGCAGGTCCTCCAGTAGCTCCGCTTGCTCTCGCACGGAGTCGTTGACGAAGGTTGCCGCCGAGAAGGTAAGATTAGAAGAAGGGAGGGGGGGAAGGTTTTCCGTGCCAATAAAATTAACATTGTTGACTGGAGCCTCACCGGCTTCATCTTCAGAGTCGTCGGTGTCGTTGTCGACCGCTGGAGCAGGGGGAGCGGCAGTCGCTGCGTCGTTGTCATGCCGGTTCGTCCGTGCTCCCCGTGTGCCTTTCTCCTTTTTTGCAGTTTCTTTTTTAGCCGACGCAGATGCGGCGGGTAGTGCAGTTTCCGCGGCTGTAACGCTGACGGGTTGCTGCTGTAGAAGGGACAGCAGCGCGTTGACCTGGTCCGGGGTCAACGCCTGCGTCAGCGCAGGGGCGGCGGTCGCGTCAGACGAGGAGACTGCAGTCCGCCTCCTCTGACGCTGACGCGACGGTCCAGCAGCGGGTGCTGGCGTGTGCTCGGCGTCAGTCGCGTGTGCCGCGCCAGTCCCCGTCGCCACTTGCGCCACAGGTGCCACTGGCGCCACAGGGACCGAAGGGTGCTGCTGGGTTTCGGCGTTTTTGTGGACCTCGAGCCCGCCCAGCAGCACGTCCACTGCAGTCGGGGCGGAAGGTCCGTCTTCTGCCCGACGCTTGTTACGGCGTTCGCCCGCAGAATCGCGGGCGTTACGGTCGGAGTCGGAAGTATTAGAATGGACTAAGATACTAGCGGAAGCTTTAGTAGTCTTAGAACCTCCTCTTTAAGCCTAGGAATCCTAGGAGCCCACTTGGGCATGAGCCATGCTAGAACCAAAGTGGTTTCCAAAAGTGAAAATGCCAACAAGAGAGAACCCTAACCTATAGGGTTTGGGAGGTGGTCCACTCTAAAGAGTGTACACCACAAGTTCTCCCAACCCAACCAATGTATTCTACACTACCATAGTGTAGATGTACCACTACATATGTTTATTGGAGCAACCCGAATTAACCTTAATTCCAACACCCCCCCTTGCTCCAATAAGCATTGAAGTTCACCCATAAATCAAAATACAACCCCTCCAGCGAATGAAGCCTTGGCCTTCGCAGCAATCACTCGCATGCCGATGCGCTCCAGGTTCTCATGCAGCTGCAAGCTTGGAAGAGCTTTGGTGAGCATGTCGGCATCCTGGAGGTGGGAGCGTACTGAGTGCACCTCGACCTCCTGCTGGCGCACCGCATCCCGTACAAAGTGCCATGCCACCTTAATGTGCTTGGTGCGCTGATGGAGAACGGGATTGTGGGCAAGGGAGACAGCTGCCTCATTATCACAGAGCAATGGAATAGCCCCCCCATCCCCCACATGCATCTCTGCCAACAGACTCCTCAACCAAATGGCCTCCTTGGCCCCCTCCGATAGAGCTTTGTACTCAGCTTCAGAAACGCTTGCTGCAACACTGTCTTGCTTTTTGCTATACCAGCTGATTGCTCCTCCTCCCAGCTTAAAGATGTAGGCAGAGCGACTCTTGCCATCAGTCTCACCACCCCAATCCGAGTCTGTGTACCCGACAACCTGCTCACCACCTTGGCGCTCATACCTGATGACACGATCAGCTGTGTCGACCAAGTACCTGAGTGCTCTCAGTGCAGCGCGCATGTGAATGCGTCTTGGTGCCACGCAGGACTGTGCAAGGGTGTTGACAGTGAAAGACATGTCAGGACGGGTGGTCACAGCAGCATACATCAAGCTGCCAATGAGACTCTGGTACACCTTGACATCAGCTGCAACACCTTCCTCAGTTGACCAAGTACCATTCCTGATCTTAGAGAGATCATTGGGTGACATTGGAGTATGCACCCTATGGGTCTCCTTCAGCAGATCACCAAACCTTCCCTGGAGACCACGGACATACTTCTCCTGACCAATCTCCAACCACCCATCCTTGACCGACCTGCGAACCTCCACACCAAGGTACATGGATACCTCACCTAGATCCTTCATCTGGTACCTCTGAGCAAGCACCTCCTTGACCTGACCGATCAGCTCCAAGCGTGGAGACACAAGCAAGAGGTCATCCACATACACCAATACATACACTGGCTCTTCATCCACAAACCTGATGTACAGAGCCTCATCACATGCACTGCGGTCAAACCCTGCTGCAATCAAGGTGGTACCAATCTCCTCATTCCAAGCACGAGGCGCTTGCTTGAGCCCATAGAGAGCTTTGCGCAAGCGATGCACCCTACCTGTACCATCATCAAATCCCTCAGGTTGCCTCACATACACTTCCTCTTGAAGGAGTGCATTGAGGTAAGCATGATCAACATCCTCCTGTTGTACATGCCACCCTTTTACCGCGGCTTCTGCAAGAAGCACCCGACCTGAGGTCAGCTTGCCCACAGGGGCAAATACCTGATCATAGTCCTTCTCAGGCTCCTGAGTGTACCCCTTAGCAACAAGGCGAACCTTGTGCTGTACCACCTTATCCTCCTTGTCAGTTTTCCTGCGGAAAACGTACCGGACCCCAATGGCCTTCTTACCTGGAGGTAAGTCAACCGGCTCTGGATCCCATACACCCATAGTGCGCATTGCATTTACCTCCTTCTCAGCGCCTGCCTTCCACGCAGGGCCCTCAGGGCCACGCAGGGCCTCAGCGAGTGTGCGTGGGACATCACCTGTGCTCACACCTGCCAGTGCAACACCTTCCACCTCCCTGGCCAAACATAGCATGCCCTCAACCACACCAGCATCCCCCCCTACCTCCTCACCACCTGTACCAGACTGGATACCAAGCACCTGCAAACCCGTAACCGGTGGTGGGGAGGTAGTCGCTGGTGACGGAGGGGCACCCGTAGAGAGAGGGATAGAGCGCTGACCAGAGGAGGAGGAAGAGGAAGTAGCCTGTGTAGCGGATCTCTGCTGAATGACCGAGGGGCCACTGAGGTGCTGTAGAGGGGTGGGCTGCTGCTGCACCGACACACTCAGCGGTGCCGGTGGCAGTGGTGAAAGTGGCATCTCAACGTCGTCAGCCGTTGCTGAAGGTGGCGAGAGTGGAAGAGGGAGGAGTTGGGAAATTGCAGCTGCATCCTGCAGAAGCTCCCCAAATTCCTTTGCCTTGTCCCAATCCTTCCACATCACATTCTCAAGGAAATCAACATCCCGAGCAATGCGAATGCGCATGATAGAAGGGTCCAGCATGCGCCAACCCTTGCTCTCCATGTCCACCCCAACACAGACACACATGACAGCCCGTGCATCAAGCTTGCCACCCTTCTCATGCCCATGCAACATGACACTCCCCATGCAACCCCAAATCCGAGCCATGCCCACATGCGGCTTCTGGCCGGACCACGCCTCCATTGGTGTGATGGAGGCAGGCAAAGCACTGTGGGTGACCCTGTTCTTAACCCACACAACCCACATCAATGCTTCACCCCACAAGCGAGCAGGGAGACCACTGTCGACCAACAATGTGCGAATCCCCTCTGCCATCGTCCTGTGCCACCTCTCCACAACCCCTTTCTGTTGCGGTGTATCTGCGACGCTCAGTTGAGTTTTAATGCCAAACTCCGCCTTCCATGTTTTTACAGCTTCCCCCAAGAACTCGCCACCCCTGTCCGAGCGAACAGCCTTCAGCTTCCGCCCACACTCCAACTCCACGTCCTTATGCCACTGGCGAAGGACTTTTGCAACTATGGCCGATTCCTTGTTGGGGAGGGGGAACGACCAAACTCGTCTGGTGAAGTCGTCAATGAGACTGAGAACATACACCGCTCCTCCCAGTGATGGTGTGCGCACCGGCCCCCACAAATCCATGTGGACCTCATCCAAAGGCCCAAGTGCCCGAGATGCCTCATGGGGAAACGGCTTCCGAGCCGACTTTCCCAATAAGCAGGGCTCACATGGGGAACAATCAGTGTTCCCCCCCCCAATCTCCAAGCCCAGTACACTGTTCCCCCGAGCCATCTGTTGCAATGTTGTGGGGGCGGTATGACCAAGGCGGCGATGGGCAAGGGTCAATGGGGAAAATGAGGAGGACGACTTAGCTGCAAGAGCACTGCCCTGTGTGCCCTGAGCAAGAGGAAGAAACATCCGCACCAATCCATGGTCCCTTCCCCTCTCCTTTTCTCCAATCGCCAACACCCGCTCCCCCCGTTGAAGGACACATCTCTTGCCTTTGAATGTGACAATGACATCTCGAGAGGTGAGGTGTGGGACTGACAGCAGACGCGTGTGCATCTCAGGCACAAGGTGGACCTTTTGAATCCTCAGCAGCTGACCTCCAGCACCAACCACTGGCACCTCACCCATGCCAACAGCTTTCACCACCCGTCCATCTCCCAATCTAACTCCCCGAACCTCTGGTGGTTGAAGCTTACTTTTGAAGTCCGATGCATAAGGAGTAAAGTTGTGGCTGGCCCCACTGTCAATCCACCACCCCTCTCGCGGCTGCTCCTCTCCCACTGCTGCAACTGCTTCTCCAACCACTGCCTCTGCCTTGTCATCCTGCTCCTCCTCATCCGCCACCTGTGCCTTGCCGTTGGACCCACGACCCCCCCGCTTTAAGAATGCCGGAATGCCTCCCTTAGGTCGATGAGGACATCGCTGCCATGCATGTCCCTCATCCCAACAGCCATGACACAACCCCCGAGGAGCCATGCCCTTGGACCCCCAAGGGAAATCAAGCACTCCCGCTTTGCCTTTCCCTTGACCCCATCTGCCCGAGTTGGTGTCACTGCTGCTACCGCTGTCTCCATGCTTTCCTCCCTTGACCCAATTTCCCCTGCCGCTGCTGCCCACTTTCGTACCCGCTCCAAATGTGGCTACACCATCCGATCTTGGTGCGACACCAATCCGCATCTCCTCGCTCCTCAAGGAGGTAAGCAGCTGATCCTTAGTAAGCGATGATGACTGGTTGTTCAACACCACCTTCAGCATCTCAAAGTGAGGAGGTAGTCCTTTGAGTACCCTCATCATCCACTCCTCAACCTCCTCCTTTCCTCCTGCAGCCAAGTACTTGGACCTCAAGTCCTCGGCACGCGCCCAGTATGCAGCCACCCCCTCCCCCTCTTTCATCTTCAATGAAGAGAGCTCCTCAGAGAGTGCCATCCGGTTACACAATCCACGCTGAAGGTAGAACTCCTTCACTCGTATGTATGCCGCTGCTGTGCCTGCAGGAATTCGGGTGACCGCTCTTGCTCCGCCATCAACAGGTGCGCTGCCCAACTCGGTCTTGCCGCCGAACTCCCGTACCAAGCGAATTAGCTCATCTGGCACCAAGGCATTGCAGAATTGAGCGAATGCCTTCTGATTTTTTCTCTCCCACTTCAGCCGTGCGTCACCCGATGCAGGCCGCTCCTCCGAACCATCAAAGTACCCCCATAGATCGTGTGCCTCTGCCCATTGTTCGAATCGGAAGCTCCAAGTCCAATAGTCGCTCCCGTCGAACTTTGGCGCACTCTCCAGCTTCCCTTCACCTGAGTCATGATCCATTTGCGGCAGACACTCGGGAGATTGACGTTGAGGTGGTGGTGGAGGCAACGGCGGCGGTGGTGGAGACGATGTGGACAGATTTGCCCCCTCTTGGTTTTTGGAGCGTAACTCCGCGCTCGAACCTCCGAATGATGAGCCGTTTGTCTCAGATGAATCTTTGCTCCAAGACCGTTCCGATGATGTATCGCGCTCCTGGATCCCGCTTCCAAGCTGGCCGCTTAAACTCGTCGAAGTTGGCCGATTTCCCGTCGACGAAGACTCAACCGTTTCTCCCGATTTTTGGCTTGTTGGATGCGCCCTGGCCTCCTCTATCGGCGTCTGGCCTCCAATCTTTTTTCCGCGCTTTAAATCTTCCCCGATTTGCGATTTTCCAATTCGTCCGCCGGCAGTTTTTCGCGAATTGCGTCCGATCCCCTCGTCGATTGGTGACGACCCTGAGGCAATTGTTGTAGAGCGTGCTGAGACCTTTCCAACGGTATGCTGCACGTCTTGATCGGCCAACGTTGACTGAGCGCCTCCGTGGATGGATGCCGCTCTTCTCGTCCTCCCAAACGGATCCACACGATTTCCAGCAGTTTTCTTCTCTCCTCCTCCCCTCCCACGTCCAGAGTCCGCCACGGTGCAATTTCGGCAGCCCTTCGGGAGGAATGGAAGCTAACTAGCTTCCACCAAGATCTTATGGTCCAATGTCTTGAGTAACTCCTATTCCAACAGATTGCTAGGCATTCCTTGCTCTGATACCATATTAGAATGGACTAAGATACTAGCGGAAGCTTTAGTAGTCTTAGAACCTCCTCTTTAAGCCTAGGAATCCTAGGAGCCCACTTGGGCATGAGCCATGCTAGAACCAAAGTGGTTTCCAAAAGTGAAAATGCCAACAAGAGAGAACCCTAACCTATAGGGTTTGGGAGGTGGTCCACTCTAAAGAGTGTACACCACAAGTTCTCCCAACCCAACCAATGTATTCTACACTACCATAGTGTAGATGTACCACTACATATGTTTATTGGAGCAACCCGAATTAACCTTAATTCCAACAGGAAGCGGGGGTTGACGAGTTCCCGTTGTTAAGTGTCGGCGTAGGTGCCATCGTTGAGCGATTGAAGTTGAAAATGTCGCTGAGTAAAGTAGAGGGTGACTCGCCTCTAGGAAGCGATTTAATCCTAGCCAGCTTGGAGGGAAAAACTACTCGAGCGGAAAATGTTGAGTGAGCCGTTTGAAAATTGAGAAACGTGGGTGGAGGGAAATGAGCTCCAACCCACGGTTTTTGTAGTTGGAGAAGGGCGTTTAGCGCGCTTCGACGATGCCAATTGTGCAGTACAAGCAGCTTCGCTTTCACAATACACAATTTTAAAAAACACTACATGTGTGTTTAAAAATTATAATGTTTTAAGAGCGGTTTTTATTCATAAGTCGCGGCAAGTCTTGTTCAGGTTTCACAGCCAGTTGGAGTGAGGAGGTACCGTAATGCGTTCTTCATTGAAACATGGGCTTCCACTCTGCCCAAACCTGCACAAAGAATACCCCCCTGCAAGTCCCCCTGTAAGAGTTGGGCAGGAGGCAGAACAATAGTGCAACATTTTCAAACCGAATGTACTATTACTGTAAGCCACATGTCAAGGTGTATTTACTGTAACATTGACCTAATCATCCATTGTTAGTCTCGCCTTAATCCCCTAGAGTTCCTAACACCCCCTACCCGAACCGATCTCTGCTGCTTCAGTTCTTGCTCATATCTGGTCCAAACTTGGGAATGACACTGTGAAGCAACTGAAGAAAATGATAGCCTCCCCGCTGGACCTGGTAATCCGGCCCTTAGCGCGTACAATGGGGCTGCTGGTTGAGGGAACACATTCCCCCCTGAACTTCCGTACGCGTTCGTGTATGACGGAGTTAGGGTTTTGTCGGGGTCCGATGGAACAATTCGGACATTTGTGAGGGTGATGTCTCGGCAAGGAACAGTGGTGCTGCAGCTGACGGTAATACCATCTGTTCCATTACAAGATGCTCTGATATTGTTGTAGGAGATGTCTTGGATGGCAACAGCGTTTTGCTGTGGCACACATTTTGAAGCGTCTACATTCTTGGTATCACAATAGAACTGTCGGGGGGGAGGGACGCAGGCAGAAAGCACAGTATATATGGGTCTGCACATGAAAACAGAATAGTGGTACTGTAGATTGATTCAAAATAGTGGGTTACACAGGCTCTTGTACTGATTATACACACCTGGTTAATGACGATAGGATATGTAACATCTGTCATTTGCACATTCTCGTACGAGACATTGGACACCAGTCCCACGCCTCCTTGGTACGTCTTGATGCGCAGGCCGTTGTTAGAGCCCCGGAAGGTCACGTCACGTATAGTCACACCCTGGATGCACCCCAGAGCCCCTTCAGCTCCCAGGCTTCCAATGCTGAGAGGGGTTTAGGTTTGGGGGGGTGCGGATCGGTGAATTTGGGGGAGATTGTAAGCGACAACAAGACCCTGAAATCGAACGCAGTACCCTGAGTTTGATTTCTTTCTCTTATGCTTGTGCTTTTCCTTGCGGATGCATGAAGGAAGAGCACAGAATGTCACACCTGATGCCATGGCCGTTGATGCATGTGATATTCTCCACAAGCACGTTGCGAGTCATGCCCACTATTGCCACACCATCATCGCCTGAAGCAGGGTTAGAGAGGGGGGGTCATGGAGTGGGGAGGAGAAGGGGAGACAGCAAAGAGGTGGGGATAAACATGGAATGTTGCACCATAGAAGCCAAACTACATGCAGCAGCATCCAGTACTGAGTGCCACTGAGATCTTGCAGGTCACATATAATTATCTGACCCAAAATAACTGTGCATATAATTTCATGACTTCATTACTGTGCATATAACTGTGCATAACATTTATTGACTCGTAATAATTGTGAAAAAAATCACTTGATTTCATAACAATTGTGCATACAATCACCTGATTCGAGTCTCGAGTCCTTGACAACCACATTAGAAGATGAGCTGATGCTGATGCTGTCCGTGTTGGGGCTGTTCCAAGGAGCCAGTGTGCGCACCCCCCGGATCATCACACCCGTGCTTGCCTTCACCTTCAGGTGGATCTTGCCCGGATTCCTGTGCTTGTAATGGAGATGCATGTAGCGAAGCGGCGGGAGAGAGGTACATGCAAACACATGCAAGCACACGAGCATCCAGCACCAATCATCATGCCATCATGTCATCATGTCATCGCATCATCATGTGATCATGTCATCATGTCATTGTGTCATCACGCCATCATATCATCATGACATCATGCTAGCACCACACAAGGCATCCCTTTCGGGAGGCATCACAGTGCCAGCATCAGCAGCAGCAGCAGCAGCAGCAGCAGCAGAAACGGCAGCAGCACAAGGAACACCACAAGAAAAAACAGGAGAAACAGCAAAACACAACAAGAAGCAGACACCGGCTCATGAGGTTTGAGCCACAGAAAGGGTGCACAAAATGGGCACATAGAACCAGAGTACATGAGATATGCACCAAGCTGACTTTTGAGTCAACAATAAAAAGTGTAGATGCACGAATTACAGGGCATAACCAAGGACAGGGAAAGACAAATGCCGGCTCATGAGGTTTGAGCCAGGAGGAAAGGTGCACAAGATGTGCACATAAAACCAGAGTGCATGAAATATGCACCAATTACAGAGCATAGGCCATGCCTTGACACTCACTGCATCATTTGCTGACGGTGCATAGATATGCAGTGCTTTAGGGAGGCACTGGGTGATGCAGTGGATGCTCCATGCAATGTTATAAGCGTGTAGTATGCAATGCATAAAATTTGAATCATAGTATTGTTGCCACTCGGATGAAGGGATAGCTGGGGAAAGTAGGACAGACCTGGGGAACTTCCCGACATAAGGACTTACGGATAAACAGATTCAAATGCGAGACAAGGAAGCATACGAGCATTAAACACGAGAAACACAAATAATAGAGCACACACTGACCTGTAGGTGATCCCCGATATAAGCAAGTTTCGGCAATCCGAGAAATGCATGAGCATGGGGCGCTTCCCTTTGCCCCACCACGCGCGCCCCGAGCCGTCCAAATAGCCCCTCCCCGCGACGACGAGATTATCAATCCCGTCAAAACCAAGCATCGCCCACGTCTTGCTGCTCTCGGGTCGCGGATACGCCGCCGTGTTGAAAAACGCTTGAATCGCCCCATCAATCTGCGCCGAAGTGGGAATAAGTGGGATTTTTATTTTTATTTTTTTTTAATTATTATGAGTCAACGGGTAATTTTCTCAACTCACCCGAACAATCATTCCAGCGCCGCACGGCCCTTGGATCTCCATCGGGAATATCCGAAACACCGCGTTTCCGGGCACGTGCACCATGGCTCGCTGCCTCGTCCGCGCGCCGTACCCGCACGCCGCGGCGAATGCGCGCCTGAAAGGCCCCGACGCGTCCGCCCATCCGTTCGTCTGCGCGCCGAACCGCGTCACGCTGAAATACCCGGGGCTTGCAGGGTTCGGCTGGGGATCATCCGGATATTCCGGAAGAGGTCCGGGGTCAGGCCCGGGGTAAGGGTCGGGGTAAGGATCGGGGGTAGGAGTTGGGTTGGGGATTGGGGTTGGATTGGGGGTAGGGGTAAGCGGGTCGTTGGGATCATAGGAAGGGGCTGGAGGCTCGGGGATCGGCTTGCCGTCGCGCCCCTTAAAACCGTTGCGCCCCGAGTTTATGGGATTAGGCCTCGACCCTCCTCCGCCACTGCTGCTGCCGCCGCCGCCCCCGCCCCCGCCGCCCGTGCCTGGCAGTCGCGGTTTCATTTGGTTGCCTCCCGCCGGAGCTTGCTTCCTGCTGTATACCAACTGCTGACTCGGCTGCTGCTGCTGACGTGGCTGCGGCTGATTGGTCTGGCCGCTCCCGCTGCTGCGCCCCGCGGATTTGAATCCCGACGTCTGGCCGTTGCTGGGAAAACCAGTGCCGCTCGTTAGCTGATTGGTCTGGCCGTTCCCTGCAGATTTGAATCCCGACGTCTGGCCGTTGCTGGGGAAGCCTGTTCCACTCGTCAGCTCCGCCGTCCCCGCGTTCATGGAGTTTCTTTTAAATGCTCCCCCTCCTCCACCCGCGCTCGAGGCGTCCCCACCTGTTGCGCCTCCCCCTCCGCTTCCCCCTCCGACTCCCCACCTGCCCATCGCCCGCTTGAACTCGTTCTCACTCCCTTCCACATTCGCCGCACTCCCTTCCCCGTCCTTAGCCATTCCCGCCATTCCACTCCCGACTTGCGCCCGCGCCTTCATCCCATCCCCTGCGACCACTGCGCTCTTCATTCCCCCATTCCCACCGTTGCCCTTGTTCCTCTTATCTCCGCCATTTCCCTCGCTTTCTCCACCCCCAACGCCCTCGTGTTGCTTAACCCAAGCCTGCCCACCCCCAGAAAACGGACTTCCTGCCCCTCCTCCGCTTCCGCTTCCGCTTCCCCCTCCGCCGTTTGCCCCCACAACCTCCTCCCCACCGGGGAAGAAGCTCCCCAGAGACCGCATGTGGAGAGCGCCACCCGCGCTCCTTCGGAACGCCGCCGCGCGCTTCTCGGCAGCAGTAGCGGCGGCGGTAGAGGCGGTGAAGGCTGCGCGGGCGTCACTAGCGGAAGCCGTAGAGGCCGCGGCTACGTGCTTCTCAGGCGTCGCGACATCTCCCGCAATCATGGTGTGCGCGCAAGCGGCGGCGGAGAACAGGCAACGGGGGAAGGGCGCACAGGGCCATACAGGGTCTTCCACAGTTGCCCCGTCGATCTCCGCTTCGATCGCTCCGCCGTGTGCGATGGTAAACGACGCGCCGTTCCAGTCGCACTCGTCGCGCGTGCGAAGGTCTCCGTCGTCGCAACCGCCTATTGGCGGAGAGGACGAGAGGGTTGACGAGCGTGGGGAGAAGGAGAGCCGGAGGAGGGGAAAAGTGAGAATGATGGGATGAGGAAAAGTGGTGTATGTGCTGTGTTGCTGGTGACGAAGTGAAGGAAAAAAACGGTTCGCTGCGCGTCGTGTTACCTGCGTGCACGATCGCGCATGTGTCGTCGACAGCGAAACGGCAATCGCCAGTTCTCCTTCGCATACCCGTTGCGGGGCGCCACGCGTCGGCAGCGGTGAAACGGAAGCCCCTGCAGGAGGGTAGCGCAGATGGGGACGGAGAGAATGTGTTATCATATTTTACCGACACTTTCGACGACGTGTATTCGGAAACGGCTGTGCATCCCTGAAACGGGAAACGGTGAGTGCTTTAGTCGTCTCGTCGCGACGCGTCGAGTACATACCGTGTACGTGTCGCTTGTTCGACGACCACAAACTGGCCCCGCGCGACGTCAAACACGCACGCGTCCCGCACAGGCAGCAGCTCGCTTCCCGCCCCCCCCACCTCCCGCTCCTCCTGCTCCTGCTGCTCCTTCTGCTGCCGGTACAGAGCCTCCTCCTGTGTTTCCCCCACCGCCCTTTTCTCGTCCTTCTCCTCCATTGCTGCTCCCTCAGCAACCAAGTTTGCGCCACCCAGATTCGATCCGGCGACCTTTCCTTGCGTCAGCTCGCGAGACGCGATCCCAGCCGCCAGGCCATCGCTTGCGAGTTGATTGCGCGTAGATGGTTCCATGTGGTCAACAGGGTCAAGCTGGTCAAGACTTGGCGAATCACGTGAAGTCACTTCTGAAAATCTCAACTCGGTTCGGGCGCCATTCGTGGGCGCGTCCAGCACGTGCAGGCGGTTGCGATGCCACGTGGCGCTCAGCGACTCGCCGATACCCGACTCACCCTTCTGGATTGTCCCTTCCTTCCGGCTCGCGTCGTTCTCTTCCTCTGGGGTGACTGGAAGGGAACGTCGCTGAGTAACAATCGCCTCATCGCTAGGCGACGTCGCGGGCGGTGCGTTACTGGTGACTGTTGCAGCTGTGGAGAAAAGAAGCGCGGCGATTATAAGGAGTTTGGATATGTGACCTTTCGAATGCAGTATTCGCGATGAAGGTGAGCTGCGTGCACTCATTGTCGCTCGTCAATCATGGGGTTGCAAACGCTTTGCTGCCTTTCTGCTGACTTCCCTGTCGAAGGCTAATTGGCTTTACACGAAAGCGAAGAAGCCGCTTAGACGCAAGGTGCGGATTTGTGGGTGTCAATCAAGCGAACCGTCTTATTCTGAGCTAAGACTGGGTGGCAATAACAAACCAACATGAAGGATTTACTATCCTCGGCAGCAGCCTTCAGCACCGCAAGGAACTGAGGAGGCAGGATCTGGTAGGTGGAGGAGGTGTTGAGATGACAAGCCGGCGAATCTCGTAGGCTGTTAGGAAGTGCGGCGAGGGTGCCAACGTGCAATGTGCAAGAATGCCTGGGCTTTTTGGAACGTAAGTGGTGGAGCTACTACTTCTCATGAAGTTTTCTTTCGGTCTTCGCACCTATTACGGACTGAGTGCATGAATGCTCGAGGCTAAGGGCTGCTGGCGCACGCCACAGGAATAAGCCTGCTGCTGAAATTCTCGGTTTTAGCGGAAATGTGATGGGGATGGGCCCGTGTCGGGGCCGATGCCCGGCCACGAGATGGATGGAAGCATCAACTCGGGAGGGAAGTGACGCACATGCGCGACTCGAAGCTTGAGAGTACAAGGGCTCGGTGGGTGTGCACATAAATTATATTCTCGTTTTCTGTGCCCTTCAACTGTCTGGGTGACCGCGGACCTGTTTTACGACATGCTAAGTGCGTTTGGGTGCGGTGGATGTGTTTCTTGGTGTGTGTTGTAAGAACCTGAGATGAAGTGCTGTGCCTGGACCCATAAATAGGAACATTGTCAATATGAAAGAAAACGGGTCGAGCAAATTGTTTCCGATGGTGTCCATGGGGATTGAAAGAACGATGGAAGGGCATCGTGGGCGCCGGGAAGTGCGGGGGCAATAGGTTACCGCCAATCAAGCCGCGATAAGAATTTGAAAGGAAGTGCCTCCCCCAGGTGGAAAATAGTACAACTCCGCGCGCTTCCGGCTTCACCATTCATGATGCGCCACGGCAGCACGGAGTAGTTTCTGTTGACTTTTAACCGCGGTAATAACATACTGTGATAACAATTAATATTCCAGCAGTACACACCATCCACACATTCTCCGTCTTGCGCTATATATAAACGTCACCTACAAAATCATGTACCACACTGAAACAAAGAAAGGAAATCATGGCACAAATTGATGCAAATCCCTAGCATCATCACTCAGACTTCTTGCTTAAGTGTTCCATTTGTAATATGGGTAAGGTATTAGTTCAATGGTTTTTTCACACATAACAAGTCACAACAAATGATTATGAATCGTTACACGCGTCGGAAGCGGTAGTAACGCGAGTGAACGTTCGAACACGCACTACGCGGTTGAAAGAAACCCGTCGAGGTCTCGTCGAACCAACTGCATGCTTTGCAACATCCTGTGTCTGGCATGCTCCAATGTCCACGTTATTAGCAGCCCCTATATCACCAAGCCCATCTGCAGTGTTGCCCCTTGATGCATCATAGCCCTTTGTATGGAAAACAGGAAATCCCTTCTTCTCCAAGTTGCCGATGCTGTTATTCCTCCCATACTCCTCATGGTTACCACAACTGCCACTAATACTCCCTCCACTGCTGATGCTGCTACTGGTGGTAGTGCTGCTGCTGTTATTGATGTTGCTGCTCCTGCTCGTTGTTCCATCACTGGAATACGGGCTTCGACCATTTCCCGCCTGAACCCCCTCGTACCCATCTGATTTTTCCACCCTCTCTTTAACCACCTCCTCTCCAATCACCTCAAGAAACGGGTTGGTGGAATGAGTAGGGTAGTCCAGTGCACCTGATGGTAAAGGCAGCATTCCCTGCTCTTGCAGCTGCTGCTGCTGCTGCTCCTGCTGCTGCAACTGATCCAGCCACAGCAGCTGCTGCTGCTGAATGGGCAAGTTAGCCACAGCATACGTGAGAGGGCTTAGGGTTCCTCCGATCAAGCCCTCAACATCAGTATGAGAAATGGCTTCTGTGTGGTGTTGGTCCAGCGTCATAATGTAGTCATGCTGCTCCTCCTCACCTTCCCTCTCCTCATCTTCCTCTTCCATCCCCTCTTGCTCCTCTTCCCTCCTCTCCTCCTCCTCCTCCTCCTCCTCCTCCTCCTCCTCCTCCTCCTCCTCCTCCTCCTCCTCCTCCTCCTCCTCCTCCTCCTCCTCCTCCCTCTCTCTCTCACCCTCTCTGAAACCTCCCACTCTAGACTCCGCCCACCCCCCCCCCAAAACCTCCTCTCCACACCCCTCACTCCCCCTGCCCTCCCCATCATAACCCAGGCAATCACACTCACTCCCCTCACGCCCCTGTGCCTCGCCACAACCCACGGAGCAGCTGTGAGAGGCGCACTCACTCCCCTCCTCCCCTGGCCTCCTCGAGTCCAAGCTGGCAGCCAGGCTGGCAGCAAGGCTGGCGCTGACAGTGGCACTGACAGTGCCGCTGGCGTTGAGAGAAGACTCACTCATGCACCACTCACCGTCAGTGACACTATCCCGCACCGGCCCATTCTCACCACCACCCGCTGCCGCTGCTGCTGCTTCGGCTAATGGCGCTGTTAGTCCCGCTGTGCTGCTGCCTAGAGTGTGGTTCAAGCTGTCTTCCCTTGCTACTGCTCTTTTCCATGCAGGCACACCCGGACCAGCAGCACCTGCACCAGCAGAAGCTGCACCGGCAGCACCACCAGTTGCGCCCGCACGAGCAGAAGCTGCACCAGCAGCACCAACGCCAGCACCAGCAGCAGTGGCACCAGCAGCAGAAGCAGAAGAAGAGTATGTAGGGGTGAGGCCTCTCGCCCCAGCAGCAGCAGCGTGAGCAGCAATGGGAGCGGCAGTGGGAGCAGCAGTGGGAGCAGCACGCCCTGGTGCGGAGAAAGAGGAGGAGGAGGAACCTACGGGAGAGACTCGAGCTAGCACACTGCGTGTGTGGTGACCTTCCTTCTGCTGCTGCTGCTGATGCTGCTGCTGGTGGTGGTAGTGCTGCTGCTGCTGCTGGTGCTGATGCTGGTGGTGGTGTAGGCTACTGCAGCCACCCCTGCTGCCTACTCTGCTTGTGGAGTGTCGCGAGCGGGGCGAGGGGGGAGCGAGAGACGCAAGGGAACCCAGAGAGGCTGACACAGCTGACGCTGATAATTCCGATGCCGACGCTGCTGGCTGTGCTGCCGTGGCTGCTGCCACTGACCGTGCAGCGGTCAAACCCGGTTGAATGCGGTGCTGGATGGTGCAGCCCGGTGCGGCTGCTGTTGGCGATGGTGGCCTCGCGTGGAGGAGAGAGCGGAGCGGGTTTTGCTCTGCTGCATGTGCTGACGATCCCGGCCGTCCCTTGAAAGATGCAGATGCTGAGTTGGCGACAGTGAGCGAGCGGGACCGGCGAGGAAGGGCCTGACTGTTCCCTCTCACTTCCTCATTGCGCCCTCTCTCTTCGCCACTGCGCACGCGCCCTTGACTGTGCTGCCCCTGCAGCTGCTGCCTCTGCTGCTGTTGGCTCGCCGCCTTACTGTCATTCTTCTCTTGATGCTGCAGTCGCTCCATCTGCTGCTGCAGCTGTGGGGCTTCAACTCCCTCCTCCTCCTCTCCCCCCTCTTCCACCCCTCCCTTCTCCTCCACCCCTCCCTTCTCCTTCATCTCTCCCTCCCCTTGGCGTTCTGCCTTCTCTTGCCGTTCCATCTGCTCTTGCAGCCGCAGCAGGGAATTGTAGTGCCCCACCAGAGTCGCCACATTCGCACCCTCCAACGCCCCCTGCTCCACTGCCGCTCTCGCTGCCCTCACAGCGCTCTCCACCGCCTCCAACCGCGCTCCCTTTGCCGCTGCCACCGCTGCTGCTGCTGAAAAACGAGTTGCGGCTCGCTTTGCTGCTTCTGCTGCTCCCTTTGCTGCTTCTGCTGCTCTCCGTTCGTCTTCCAGCTGGTATTCCCCGAGCACTCGCTCCCGTTGCTCTTGCTGCCGCTGTTTCCCCCCCACCACCGCTCCTCCCTCCTTCTCCTCTTGTTGTGTGCCTCTAAGTCCTTCCTGATTCTGGTATACTCTCCCTTGGGATGCTCTCCGCTCCACTGTCTCCTCTCTGACCCCTGTTTCTCCCTTGCCTCTCTCCTCTGCCCTCCGCTCTCCCCCCAATCCATCCCCTGCCCTCTCTTTCTTTGCGCGGATCTTCTTTTTGCTCTCTCGACGCACTTCGTCGTGTTTCAACGGCCAACCGAAGTTAACTGGAGGGGAGTGTTTGCGAGAGTGAGAGCGAGTGTGGGACCCGCATTGCTGCGACGTGCTTACCGAGCCTGCAAAGCTTATAGCTTGAGAGAAGCTCACTGCTGCTTCGGTCTCCGCTGCCAAGGCTAGCCGGCAGGCTCGGGCACTTGCTTCGGCGAGAGCAGCAGCCTCGGCAGCAGCAGCACCAGGAGCAGGGGTGGGCGGTACCGTGACGCCAGCAGCACTAGGTGTGACGTCATTACCGGCGTTGAGCTGGTTCCACGTGGCGGATAGCTGAGTCAGGGCCTTGTACGCGTTAAGGACCTCTTCACTCCGCCCACTGGGTATCAGTTTTTGCTGAGGGTCAGGCTTATATCCACTCCTTTCCCCCCCATTGTTGCTTGTTACACCAAACGTCCCAACCACACCAGCCTTCGCTGCTCCTCCTCCCCCTTTCTCTGCTTCCTTTCCCCCTCCGCTTCCCCCTGCTTTCATCCATCCCCCCCAAGAGATGCTTCGTTTCGGTTTCCTGCTGTACGTGTCGTCTTTCCCTTCACGCACGCTCCCTCCGCTCACGCTGTCCGCGCTACTGCCACCTCCGTTAAGAGACGTACGCGACGTGCTCCTTCTCGGAAACAGCCTGCACGTCATTATAACGGGGCCATCGTCGTTATCATTGCTGTCGTCCGCGTTATAGGCGCGGCGGACGCGGCTCCGCAGAACATCCCCCGTCCCTTCCGCCATCGCCTCGTCATACCCTTCCTCCGCCGCATTTCCGCGCGCCCCTCCGCCCAGAGCTTCCGCGCGCTGGTCTCCCGCTGCCGCGCCTGCGCCAGTGACGCCGATGGTGGTGGTGCGGGGCGGCGGGAGTGGATGCACGGCGGAAGGGGAGCCGCTTCCGCGCCGAGCTGCCCCCGCGGGGGAACGCAGCCAATCAGCAGCTGCCAACGCAGCAGCGCCGAGCGAAATGGAGCGATGAATACGGTGCTGCTGCTCGTGCGTGTCGTGAGGCTGTTGCTGCTGCTGTTGCGGTTGCTGCAGTTGCGGGACGTGTTTCAGCGCGTTTAATGATACGTTATGGCGCGAACCGATACTAGGCCTTCGCGCCGGCAGTGTCGTGGGAGCGGGTACGTATCCGTTGGGCGCAGCAGCAGAAGCAGAAGCTGCGTCAGTGGCACCGTAATACGCGCTAGAAGGAATGTCGTCACCAGCATTGGCCGCCGCAACCGTCGCCGCCGCCGCCGCCGCTGCTGCGACAAGATTCTCCTCCCCGAAAGGCATCCCGCCGCTTCCGCCGCTCGCGCTGTCCCAGTCGATGACGTCATGCTGAGGTGGCGTTACATACCCGCTGCCGTCAAGCTGACGTGGCGACGACAATCCATTCGTTTGAAGCGCACCGGGTTTGATCGTGCTGACGTCAAGCGGCGAAGCCAATAAGCTGTTGCCACGTGGACGCGGCGAGAGGGTGGACACGCCATTTCCGCCACCCCTGCCGCCACCCGCAACCACGCCGAGGCTTCGCGCGCGCCCGCGGGGATCCTCGCGGAGCGCGGGGGGGCCGACGGCAGGGGAGGGGAGACGGCGCACGCCGATCTGCAGGGAGTTTGGCTGCGCAGAGCGGGGAGACGCGGAGCGGGGGGAAGGCGGCCGGGGGCGCGGAGCATGCTGCGCGTGAAGGCGGGGGGAGGGCGGCTTCAGTTCCGCGCTAACGCCCCTTCCATTCTCCTTAGCCCCCTCTCCACTTAACCCTCTCCCCGTTCCACTCTCCCACGCAGCAAAGTCCGCCCAACATTCCGCTCCCCCACCCGTGCAACCTTCCGCGCGCCCACCCGCGCAGCCTTCATCGGGGAACAGCTGAACGCGCACGCCGTCCGCATTGACGCCGGCATCTGCGGCTTGGAGCGGCGCGTTGTTCCGGTGACCCGCAGCCCCCGCGCTGACGTGGCGCTTCGGGAACGAGCCTGAGGTTCGGTTGGATCCCGAGCCTGATCGGTTGGTCGATAGAATCGCGTGGATTTTGGAGGTACTGTCGCCTGGCGTTGAGGGCCCTGAACCGGGGGAGTCGCCTCGGGAATACCGGTGGCTGCATCGCGAAGGGGGAAAGGGTGGTTTGCGGAGAATGGAGCGTGCGCGTGTGTGCACAGCGCATGCGGGGAGAGAGGAAGCGGGGGAGAGGGGAAGGGGGAGGAGGAAACGAATGGGTCAGCCTAAAGCGAGGAGCGGGATAGGGAGGAAATGCGGAGGTGGTTAGGAGTTGAGAAGAGACGAAACACAACTATGGCATAAATAAGCCGGCTGTAGACAAGGATGGGCGTGGGAACCCATGTTAACGCGTACAACAAGGAATATAGGCTTATAATACAATGCCAGAAAGCGAAACGTTTATAATTGATCAGAGCAGGATTACGTAACGGACCTCATAGGAAGATCGTGGGCGAGAATGGAAGGGGATGGAGTATCGTCCGAGTCAGAACCGGCGGTGCGATCAAAGCAGCTAGTCTGCAGAACGGAGTCAGGTGAATTACAAGTGACACTAATAGGCTTACGTCCCCATTCCGGTACCACGGACTGTTCGTGACTTTCTCGCTGTGCTACTGGTTGTGTAACCCGCTCTGTTAGATGCTGTGCTAATGGCCGTGCTACTGGCTGTGCTGTGTTTGAGGCTGTGGGCGAATACATGTTCTGCTCGAGAATACTAGTAGTCAGCGCACATGGCGGCGGCAGGCACCGTAAAATGGCGCCTCGCCGTTCGGACGAGCTAAAGCGCGGAAACTAATCGGATGTGCTGCGCGGTTCGAGCTGTGGAGGTTCGAGTATCAGCAATGGTGGAAGATAAGAGTTGCGTTTAGCAGATGGAAGAAAGCTTGAGCAAATGGATCTTGAGAGCCTGAGTAACGGAACATCAACAGGTGGTGAGGCTAGGCGAACCACGCACGTACAGGTGGGGTGGCGGTGGGGGGTGAGGTGAGGTGAGGAGGGAATGGCAGGGAAGACGGTGCAACGACAAAGAGGAGGGGATGGAAGGGTGGTGTGAAGACCAAATTCCCGAACGTCCACATTTGAATGGCTCGAGGTGGCGCGAACTATAATTTGGAGGCGCGAATTCTTGATAGGCGGTTTGGAATCCGCGGCCCGAAGCAAACTCCGTACATTGCGCTGATGATTTGTGAAGCTTCGATTTCAATTCTTCGGGTCAGTCTCGAAAACATCTGGCACTCTCTTCAAATACTTTGAGCCTCTCTGTTACGATTCAATGAAATGGCCTCCCAGACCTAACGAGTTGTCTGAAAATACAAATTAACGCGTTCGTACGTTTCAACACGGGCAGGATTGTCTTCTCCAAACCTACAGAAACTCAGCAAATGTGTCTCCTTGAGCGTGGATGTCATTTCCGTACAGCTTGACGACATTCACGGCCAAGATTCGTGAACGTTGGCACGCAATGTTACAGATGCACCTTGGTAATAGCATTCTGCAATACAACAGTCCGAACATGCAATCACCAGCATCACATAATCAAGATAATGTTTTACCATTACTTTTTTCACATGGGAGTTCCACATGTGGCTCAATGAAAAGGATGCATAACGCAGCTCCTCGTTGTATAGCCTCGTTTCTGTGTGCAACTACTCGTCCATTTTTCAGCTGCTGTTACTACACAGCATTGCGTTATGGTTCTCAAGTGCTTGTACCAGAGCCATTTACATGAAACTGTGGTACATCCAAGCTTGTTAGGGTGGCTACTTCGTGAAGAGATGCTGAATGGGTGCTGGTGGATTTGCACTCAAAAGAGGAGCCTAGGATGTCTCCATTGCGGAAAGTGCTGGTAGTTTATAGTGATGCCACTGTTTGTTGAACAGATGTTGGTGCTGCAACTAGAAGCTGATACAGACGGGGGACTGGGACTCAACTGTGTCAGGGACACCGCAGGTGCACTGCCCTTACCATTGGCAATGGCTGACAGGAGAAGTGGCAAGAGCTTTGGTAGCGGCCTTGCTAACTCAAAAGAGCCACCAAGCAACGCAGGGGGTCCAGAGGTTGCATGAGCCTGTAGGAGCATAGGCGATGGAAGCAGAGGAGGAGGAGCGGTGGGATAGGGTCCACCCCCGAGAATGGGAGCTCCCGCTGGCCCACCAACCACATCCTGCTGCCACTTCTCCTTTTGCTGGTTTCCCTGCTCAAGTCGCAAGCAGTGGAGTGGCGCTCGCTGCATCGACCCATGTGCCTGAAGCTTCCTGGGAAGAGAAGAAGCCAGTGGCAGCTGCTGCAGCTGACGGGCCACTGGTTGCCTTGACTGCGATGACTGTTGCTGCGGTTGCTCCTGGGTCTGGGAACCCAGAAGCGGCTGCTGGATCTGCATCACGGGACTTGGCTTGAGCCTCCAGAGGCTCCCCTCAGTGCTCAAAACTGGAAAGCTGTAGCTTTCATTACGACGAGCTGCTGAAGGTGCGGCAGATGCTGAAGGTGGCCCACCTGCAGTCTGCGGAGGAACAGCGCCAGCAGTAATCATGCTGGCTTCAGCAGCGAAAAAGGATGGCGATGCCGTGAGCAGAGATGGCAGCAGTGCTGTAGGATGGCTAGTACGCTGTGTGGCAGCTTCAATGGTCAGCGATTTGGCGGCTGGAGCTCCAGCAGATGCCGTAGCGGGTAAGGCTGGTGGAATAGCTGGTGTGTGGCTGCCATCGGCTCTGGAAGCAATGCAGGTTAGAATGCAGCTGTTGAAGTTGGTGCCATCCTGATTCTCGTTCATGCAGGTGCCAGATGCGTAGGCATGCAATGAATAGCCGGTACCATTTGCGGTCGGTGTTGCTTGCTGCTGCTGCTGTTGCTGCTGCTTGGGCTGACAGTGGCAGCAACACTGGGTACGGGGGAATGGAGGAAGGAAGAGGCGCCAAGGGAGTGGAGGCAAGAGGAGCAGGTGGGAGTGCGAATGGCACAAACGCTAAAGCACGAGAATGTGAGCGAGCAGATGGGATTAGCTGGGAGGAATGCAGTGAGGTTGGAGTTCCAAGGGCACAATCTGATGAGATGATGGTTGGGCTAGGAGGCTGCAGCGACAGTGGCAGGGGCGAAGCCATGGAAGGAGCTCTGGCTGATGCCGACATACTTCCAGAAAATATGCCTTCAGAAGATGTGCCATCAGCCGAAGTGCATTCGGCAAATGCTTCTCCATTGGTGGAACCAGAGACTGAAATCAGCGAAGACTTTGGAAGTTCAGCAGGTATGAACAAAGACGCAGCTGCATTTGCGGCATTGTAAGATGGGTGAGTACGAGGGAATGATGGGAGCGTGGAAGATGATGCATGTGTGATGCTGAAACGATGATGAGCCACGTGATGCCTGACAGGAGGGGATGCAGGCAGATGTGTCTCTTCAGGTACGGTTGTGCAAGGATATGACTCCACTGTTGCTCCTGCCCTGTCAGCACGTGCATGTGCTCTCTTTGCTACTGCTGCTGCTGCTGCTGGGCCTGATGATGTGGCAAAAAGCAAAAGTGATGCGATCCCTGTGTCGATAAGACTGTTTCTTTTGGAACTTCTGCCACCATTTTCGGGACCTTGGCTGAACAATTCCGAGCAGTCCTTCTTGTTGCATCCCAGTGGACCTAGCGCTGTGTCACGTGAGTCAAATGCAATGCTCTCTTGCCAGTGCTACGTGAAGAAATAAAAGCTGAAATTCAACGATCAATGAATTCTTTATGAGCACTCACAGAGGTCGAGACGATGGGACTCCTGGAACAGTTGCAGCTCAATGTTGATAGCGGTCACGGATGATGGAGCTTCGCAGTTGTTGAAATGATCCAACAATGGCCGAGTTTCAACAGGTTTTGCAGATGTAACAGCATTAGACATTTTGGCATGAATTGCTGACATTGGAAGGTTAGGAAGTTCTGCCATTATGGTCTTGCAAATGAGCATGATCTCTGCATGGATAGGAGTCTTATGAATCTGGTTGGACGTGTCAACGCATAGCTTCTCGATGTCAGCCGTTTTGATCGCATATCTGCGGATCCATTGAAAGTTTAGTCGGGCTCTTGCTCCGTTAATGGCCAGAGAAGCAATGCCATGGACGAACACTGCATCTTCGGGCGTCTTAAATGTTCCAAGCCACATGCGAAAAGTATTGCTCAAGGCGCAAATCTCTGATGCCCATGATCCCCATTGCCGACATCGCACACCTAGGAACTGTTAATGATCCGGTACTTTCAGCTGATCACCGTTTTTCTTTGCTCGATTCTTGGCAGAACAAACGAAAGTTGTTGAGCCTGGAGCTTCTAACGCGTTTGCATTTCTCCTGGGACCGTCATCCACTGCATCTTCTTCGCATCCGACTGCTTCTTCTCCACGTGACCTCTTCTCAGTCCAAGTTGTAGTGGCCGTAGAAACGACATCATCTGACGTGTTCTGATTAGGTATTATGGGGTCTGATTGCGTCGCTTCAACCATAGATATCTCAAGCCTTTTCGACAGCTGATTCGGGCTATCCATATTCACATTCGTTCCTGCAAATCAAAAGTATCGTTACAATGGTAGTCGACGATAGGTTAGCCGCGTAGCGTCGGAAATTACCTGCATTCCTCCTGAACAGCTCCGTCGACAGCTCTCGTCTAGCTCGTTGTCATAAATAACCTCCTTTGTGATCCTGCTCTGCGAAGGCATTCTCAAGCGATCGTACCTGGCTCAACTTGTCACCTCTGCTTGTCAGACCCTTCCCTCCTCTCCCTCAGGCGGTCAATGGGATAGGTGGAAGCTTGACCTCTGCAACAAAATTAAATCATTCGCCAGCCAAGAAAAAGTCAGGGTGAAGAAAACCACCTCGCATCTCTCCAACCTGCTGTGCCAACTTCGTATTCATATGGCTGTTCATCCCTCTGAAAAAGCCGCCAAAG